GATAGCGGAGTGTCGAAGTGCGAACGGCAGAGAGCATACTTGCGAACGGCAGAGAGCATACTTTTCTATAGCGAGCGGCGCAGTATGTGCGGGCTCTAGTAGTCTTGAGCCAAAAGCAATGTGAGTCAAGCTGACTGAAGAGTATACACAAGATAACTACGAACAACAGGTGCTTCACACGTATAGCGTAGACACGCCTAGGGGACCTAGGGCGCTACAAATCATCCCCCCCCGCGGGTTCGACTCCTCCCTGGGACGTCTCTGGGACATTGAGACTGATGGCCTCCAACTTAGTAGCGATCGCCCCCAACTTAATAGCGAGGGCCTCCAATTCAATAGCGAAGGCCTCCAACTTGATAGCGATGGCCTCCAGCTTAATTGCTAGCGATGGCCACCAACTTGCTCGCTAGCATTTCTAGCGATGGTCTCCAACTTAATAGCGATGGCCTCTGACTTGATAGCGATGGCCTCTAACTTAATAGCGATGATTAATGGCGATGGCCCCCAACTTAATAGCTATGGCGCCCAACTTAATAGCCATGGCCTCCAACTTAATACTGATGGCCTCCACCTTATAACGATGGCCTCCAACTTAATAGCGATGGCCTCCAACTTAACAGCGATGACGTCTAACTTAAGAGCGATGGCCCCAGCTTGATTACGAACCATGGCCTCCAACTTAATTACTAGCGATGGCCGCCAACTTAATTACTAGGGATGGCCTTCAAGTTAATTACCAGCGATGGCCTCCAACTTAATTACTAGCGATGACCGCCAACTCAACTACTAGTGATGGCCTCCAACTTAATAGCGATGGCCCCCAACTTAATTAATAGTGATGGCCTCCAACTTAATAGGTATGGTCTCCAACTTAACAGCCGTGACCTCTAACCTAATAGCGATGGCCGCCAACTTGATTACTAGCGATGGCCCTCATTTGAAATACTAGCAGCGGCCGCCAACTTAATTACTTGGGATGGCCTTCAACTTAATTACAAGCGATGGCCTCCAACTGAATTACCAGCGATGACCGCCAACTCAAACACTAGCGATGGCACCCAACTTAATAGCGATGGCCTCTAACTCAATAGCGATGGCCTCCGACTGAAAAGCGATGGCCTCCAACTTAATACTGATGGCCTCGAAGTTAATAGCGATGGCCTCTAACTGAATAGCGATGGCCTCCAACTTAATTAATAGCGATGGCCTCCAACTTAATAGGGATGATGGCCTCCAACTTGATAGCCATGGCCTGCAGCTTAATAGCTATGGCCTCCAACTCAGTAGCCATGGCCTCGGACCCAATCGGTATTAATTTGAAGGCCATCACTACTAGGCTGGAGGCCATCGCAGTTAGATTGGAGGTCAATGCTATTGAGTTGAGGGCAATCGCTACTACTCGGTTGAAGGAAATCGCTATTAGGTTGGCGGCCATTGCAATTGAGTTGGAGGTCGTCACTGATAAGTTGGAGGACGATTCCTTTGAGTTGGAGGCCATGGCTATGAAGTTGGGGGCCAACGCTATTCAGTTGGAGGCCATCGCTATTAAGTTGGGGGCCATCGCTATTAGGTTGGAGGCCATCGCTATGAGGTTGGAGGCCAATGCTACCAAGTCGGAGGCCACCGCTATTAGGTTGGAGGCTATCGCTTTTAAGTTGGAGAACGTGCCTTTTAAGGTGGAGGCCATTGCTATTGGGTTGGAGGCCGGGCCATCGCTTCTATTAGGTTGGAGGCCATTGCTTTGCGTTTGGAGGCAATCCCTATTAGGTTGGAGGCCATGGCTATTAGGTTGGTGGCCATTGCTGAGGCCATCGATATTGCGTTGGAGGCCAACGCTATTTTGTCTGAGGATTGGAGGCCATGGCTACTAGGTTAGGTTGGAGGCCATCGCTTTTGGGTTGGAGGCCATTGCTATTAGGTTGGAGGCCTTGCTTCTGAGTTCAAGGCCATCATCGCTATTAGGTTAGAGGCCATTGCTATCGGGTTGGGCGCCATTGCAGGCCATTGGTATAGAGGCCATTGCTATTGGGTTGGAGACCATCGCTATTAGGTTGGAGGCGATATCGCTATTAAGTTGGAGGCCATCGCTATCAGGTTGGAGGCCATCGCTCTTAAGTTGGAGGCCATTGCTGTTGGGTTGGAGACATCGCTTTTAGGTTGGAGGCAATTGTTATTAGGTTGGAGGCAATCGCTATCAGGTTGGAGGCCATCATTATCAGGTTGCAGGCCGTCGCTATTAGGTTGGAGGCCGCCACTATTGGGTTGAAGCACATCGCTTTTAGTTGGAGACCATCGCTATTAGGTTGGAGGCCATGTTGTTTGGTTGGACGATATCGCTACTAGGTCGGAGGCCATCGCTCCTATTAGGTTGGAGGCCATCCCTGCTAGGTTGGAGGCCGTCCCCACTAGGTTGGAGGGGATTGAGGACCATGGCCCTCGCTATTCCATTGCTAGTAGAATCACTTCTGGCCATCGCTTTTAGATTGGATGCCATCGCTATAGGATTGGAGGCCATCGCTATAGGATTGGAGGCCATCGCTATTGGGGTGGGAGGCCTGTTGGAGGCCAGCGCTATTAGGTTGCGAAGGCCATTGCTTTTGGGCTGGAGATAAACGCTAGTGGTTTGGAGGCCATCGCTATTAGGTTGGGGGCCATCGCTAGTAGGTTAGAGGCCACCTCTACTAGGTTGGCGGCCGTCGCTATTGTGTTGGAGATGATCGCTATGGTTGGGCTGGAGGCCATCATGCACTATTAGGTTGAAGACCATCGCTATGAGGTTGGAGACCGCAGCTATTAGGTTGCAGGCCATCCCTATTAGGTTGGGCCTAAAAGCGAAGGCCTCAGCTCCAACTTGGCATTCGAACCTTTTGTGGCGATAGCCTCCAACGCAATAGCGGCAGCCTCAACCTAGTAGCCATGGCTTCCAATCTAATGGGGATGGGTTCAGCTTCCAACCTAATAGCAATGACCTCCAACCTAATAGCAATGGCATCCAACCCAATAGCGATGGCCTCAAACCTAATATACACCGATATCCTCCAACCTAGTAGCCATGCATTGCCTCTACCAATAGCAATGGCCTCAGCCCCTAACCAAATAGCAATGGTCTCCAACCTAATAGCAATGGCCTCCAACCTGATAGCAATGGCAACCAACCAAACAGCGATGGGCTCCAAACTAATAGCGATATCTTCCAACCTTGCCATGGCCTCCAACCTAATAGGGGATGGCCTCAGCCTTCAACCTAATAGCGGTGGCCTCCAACCTAGTAGAGATGGCCTCCAACCTAATCGCGATGGCCTCCAACCCAACAGCGATGGCCTTCATCCCAATAGCAATCGCCTCCAACCTAACAGCGTTGGCCTCTAACCCAATAGCCAGGCCTCCAACCTAATAGCAATGGCCTCCAACCCTAGGAGCGTTGGCCTCTAACCCAATAGCCATGCTTCCAACCTAACAGCAATGAGTGCTGTTACCTGATATATCAGGACTTTACCCCCCCCCTCCCCCGCCCCACGGGCTTCAACTCCACCCTTCTCTTCCTCGGTACCTGCTGCTGCTGCTTGGTCGCTGCTGCTGCTGCTGCTGCTGCTGCTGGCATCTCATCTGCGCCTGGCTCTTGGCTGCTTGCTGCTTGCATGCTTGGTGCTGCTGGATGCTCTTGGCGGCTTGCTGGTTGCTGCTGCTTGCTGCTTGCATGCTTGCTGCTGCTGGATGCTGGCTGCCTGCTGCTTGTTGTCTGCTCCGTTTTGCTGCTGTTGCTGTTTGGGGTTGTTGGCTGCTGTTGGTGCTGAAGAAAGCCTATTCATTAGAATCGAGAGTAGTTGCATTCCCTCTGAGTCGTGAAACGATGCTAATTTCATTATATCCTCAAGAAGCTTGTGCAGGCATGTACCCACCTCACAACCCCCAAGAGTACAAATCAGAACGCACTATCCGCTATCCATGCAGATCAAAAGATGATACTTACTACACACATGAATGACAGAACCCAGTAAGATGGTTGAACGGGCTGTTTGCTTCCCTCATGGTAGTCCGCGTTCCATGTTCGAGCGACAGGGAGCATGCACAAGCGTTGCGACGGAGTCTTCGGTCGCTGACACATGTTCGCATGCAACCCCTAGATGTCAATCATGTACACCGCTGCTGGCTGCATCGTCAGCATTTATTCGTGGAAAAACCAGATATATCAGATATATCTGTCTTTCCACGTCGCCCTTCTACAATTATCCAGGCAGCGCCTATATGTGCTATTGTTTGAGACCAAATGTTGGGCACGAAAGACTCTAAGGAAAGCTCACTCTTTCCCTGCTGCTGCTGCTGCTGCTGCTTGGTAGCTGGTGGTGCTGCTTGGTAGCTGCTGCTGCTGCTGCTGCTGCTGGTGCTGCTTGGTAGCTGCTGCTGCTGCTGCTGCTGCTTGGTAGCTGCTCCTACTGCTGCTGATGCTGCTTGGTTGCTGTTGATGCTGCTGCTGCTTGGTAGCTGCTGCTGCTGCTGCTGCTGCTTGGTAGCTGCTGCTGATGCTGCTGCTGCTTGGTGGCTGCTGCTGATGCTGGTAGCTGCTGCTGATGCTGCTGCTGCTTGGTAGCTGCTGCTGCTGCTGCTGCTGCTTGGTAGCTGCTCCTGCTGCTGCTGCTGCTTGGTAGCTGGCGCTGCTGCTTGCTAGCTACTCCTGCTGCTGCTTCTGCTGCTGCTTGGTAGCTTCTGCTTGCTGCCGCTGCCGCTGCTGGTTACAGTTATTGTTGTTGTGGCTGTTGCTGCTGCTGCTGCTGCGGTTGCTGGGGTGGTTGTGTGTTGCCATGTGTTGGGTGTGTTGGGGTCGTATTGGGGGGGGCGCTGTTGGCACTCTCCTTTTCCCTTGGCCATGGCATGTTGCGATTCCCGGCCAGGCTTTTGGTGCCTAAAGAGCCCCAGCGTTGTTTCTTTGCCTAGCTTTCGCCACCCCCCTCTGGGCCACAAGTAGCAATTGCCTTGAACTTTTGCTCCAGACTTTCTCCGAGGATGAGTATTGGCAGGGTCCAGAAGTCTCCCATGCTTGGCGCTATGGAGATGGCCACCTCACCTGGGAATGGGAGAAGTGTGTGGCATTGCGTGGCGTTCTTCACCCAGGCTCAGCCAGAAAACCTGTGCTGTCCCACAGTGCTGTGCAAGCAGAACTTGCTGGTAGTTCTTGTCAGTTTGGGAGGTATCTTTGCACTGCTGCTGACTCTGCTACCTGATTGGCCACTACTTGTGGCATACGCACCCAGATTGTTGCAGGGCGCTCTAGCGTCCTTTGCAGATTTGGTGGCCTGGCAAACATCACAAGATACGCGTTGAACATTACAGCGTTTCTGCTCAACTGCTGTATTTCAAAACTTCTTGCGCGCTTCTGAAGCTTGATTGTGAAAAGGCTCAATTCTGGTTGCCCCTTTTGCCAAGGCAGTGTATAGGAGTGCTGAGAGGCCAAGAACCACTCGTGAAATGTATCTTTTGCCTGCTCTTGTTGCATGTGCCATGTTGTTTTTTCTCCCGTCACTGCAACCGTAGTTGGGTTAACATCTCAGCAGGCTCGGAGGCAAAGCATTAGCTCGTTGGGCTTTGTGTGTTCAGCTGGCAAGCTGGTTTCAGCTCTATGCGGTCACAAGGACGTGCGGTTTCCATTCGTTGCCGGCGCTCAGTTGAAAGCAGCCTCCAGTGAAAAGTACTTCCTCTTCAACAAAAGAGAAGCGAGGGGAAACACCCTTTCCAGTGAGGCCTTGGAGATTCTGATCTTTTTCCTCTGAACTATGATTGATTTCGTCCTATTAATTCGATATGAAAGATATATATATATATTTAATATATTTATTTACCACACAAAAGCACTCCCATTGTTGATCTGGAACCTGGTGATTTGTGGACAGCTGATTTGGACACGTTGAGTCTATCATCCTGCGCCTTGCCCACCCTAGCGGATAGATAGATGATGATAGATGGATAGCTACGTAGATAGAAAGAGAAGGAGGAGAGAGACTGTGGGGAAAGAAGAAAGAATCAGAGAGAGCAGAGAACTGGCCAGCTCATGCTGGGGAGCAGAAGGACCTTTTCCAGCTCGTTGGAATCGGTGCTTGCAGCGCTGGTTATTGATCATCTTACAAGACGAGCGCTCACTGGCGCGCTTGTGCTTGGATCCCTGCAAGTGGCGATACGGCCCACGGCTGCAGGTGCCAAAACGGCAGACGGCATGTGGCCAGTACATGTCCATGAAGTTCACATATCAGTACACTACCAAAATGTGTGGCATCTTTGACTTAAGCACCACATGCCATCAAGGTGTCTGCGACATATTTCTTTAGATGGCTTGTACATTGACTTGTACATGGCTTCACGTTGCCTCAAATCACGTGACTGGAGGCTTTTGGTTGGCTTGGGCGGCCTGGGAGGTGCAGCAAGTCGGCCTTGGGAAGCACAGTCTCCAGCTCTTCACCTAGCGCTTGCAGGTAGGTGTCCGAGTGCAATGTGGAGACCTTCACGGCGCTTTTTGGAAGCTCCTGGTTCCAGGCTCTGAGCGACTTACCAAAGGTGCAAGTTCAAAAGTGTTGAGGGGTTGTGACGTGGTGTGGTTGGTAAGTTTCCATTCGCGTGGTAGACAGGTTGTACTTGTGGATATGGTGAACTGTTGATCATGTAATGACTTCCCGGCCTCCGTTTCACCCTCCCTTTCAATTGCTTCTTGCTAAATGCATGCTGACTTACAAGAGCTAATTAGGCTGAGGAGCAAAGCATAGCAAAGCCAGAATAGCGTCCACATCCGACTCTGAATACCACTGGCTGTGCACGTGGTGGAGACAGGTTGCTGGTGCCGGTGCTGGTGCTGGGTGCCGGCTGCGCACGTGGTGGTGCCGGTGCTGCGGGTGCTGGGTGCCGGGTGCCGGTGGGGGTGCTGGTGCTGTGAGCTTGCTGAGCAGGTGGAGACAGGTTGATGGTGCCGGTGCTGGTGCTGGGTGCCGGTGCGGGTGCTGGTGCTGGTGCGTGGTGGGGACAGGTTGCTGGTGCTGGTGTTGGTGCTGGGTGCCGGGTGCCAGTGTTGGTGCCGGTGCTGTGAGCTGGCTGTGCACGTGGTGGAGACAGGTTGCTGGTGCTGGGTGGCGCGTGCCGGCGCCAGTGCTGGTGCTGTGCGGGTGCTGGGTGCCGGGCGCCGGTGCGGGTGCTGGTGCTGGGCGCCGGGCGCCGGCGCTGGTGCTGTGAGCTGGCTAGGTTGGCGGTGGTGCCGGGTGCCGGTGCGGGTGCCGGTGCTGGTGCTGGTGCTGTGAGCTGGCTGTGCACGTGGTGGAGACAGGTATATCTAAGGACATCCAAGGTTATGCATTTCTAGGGATTCTTGGAGGGTTGTTGTCAATCTCATCTTCACCTCAACACCTACGGTGTTTGCAGGACTTGAAGCCACTCATGCGTTTCCCTATGACTTCCCGATGAAAAGGGCTCCGTCGGAAGGGGCAAGGATTAGAAGCATAGGTGGCCTTGTACCAACTAGGTGGGTTGGTTTGTTTGGTTGGTAGATAGAGCTGGTAGAGGAGATACACCCAAGTGTGTCAAAAAGGTTCCTGTGTATGCTTTGGACCTGCTGACATTGCCAGGCGCTGTCCAATTCCCCAGATAGTGAAGCTATCGGGTTCTTACTTCAAATAACAATGAGTTGCCCGTGCGCATTTCGAGACAGGTTGCTGGTGCTGGTGCTGGGCGCCGGTGTTGGTGCTGGTGCTGTGAGCTGGCTGTGCACGTGGTGGAGACAGGTTGCATGTTTTTGCTGTCTGGGGTCTATGCTGGTGTAATTTTTTTCCACCAGATAGCGAAGCTATGGGGGTCTTACTTCAAATAACAATGAGTTGCCCGTGCGCGCTTTCGAGACAGGTTGCTGGTGCTGGGTGCCGGTGCTGGCTGGTGCTGTGAGCTGGCTGTGCGCGCGGTGGAGACAGGTCGCTGGTGCCGGTGCTGGTGCTGGGTGGCGGGCTGAGCTGGCGGTGCTGCGTGCCAGCTGATTGTCGGTTGAGATCATAAGAACCCCATAGCTGTCACTATCTGGCGAACAAAATCCTCAACACCAGCGCCAGCACCGGCGCCCGGCGCCCAGCGCCAGCACGCTCACAGTACCAGCACCAGCACCGGCACCGCGCTTTCGAGACAGGGCCGGTGCCGGGTGCTGGTGCTTGCTGTGGTGCTGGTGCTGGGTGCTGTGAGCTGGCTGTGCGCGTGGTGGGGACACGATGCCGGTGCTGGGTGCTGGCAGTTTGCGTGGTGGAGACAGCGGGCGCCGGTGCAGGTGGTCTGAGCTGGCAGTGCGCGTGGTGAAGACTGCTGCGCGCGTGGTGGAGACAGGGTGCCGGGTGCTGGGCTGGGTGCTGGTGCTGGTGCTTGGCGCCGTGAGCTGGGGCGCCGGTGCTCGGTGCTGGTGCCCGCTTCTGACAGTGAAGTGATAACAACCGCCGCTTCTAACAGTGAAGCGTAACAAACTGCCGCTTGCAGCAGTGAAGGGCGACCGAGCGCCGCTTCTGACAATGAAGTGCCAGAATTCAGGGGCCGCGTGAACTTATGCACGCAACATCATACGGTTCGTCGCTTGGGCGTTCTTTGTCTATTAGCCCTGGGGTCTTTACACTCTTCAGGTTTTGTTTTGGCCGACAGCTGTGTCAAGGGCTGTACTGTTTGCGCGCATACTTTTGTACGTATAATGTCCTATGCGCAACATCAGGCTCTTAACCGACCATCGTGTTAGCATGTTCCAGCATGCAACACACACAATAGTCGTGGATACTGCTTGGCCTTGGGCGAGTGAAACCTACGGGCTTTGCCGTTTGTGCGCATACTTTTGTGCGCATAAACTTATACGCGCAAGATCATACGTCGTTCTGCAGATCGTTGCTTCAAGCATTCTACAAAGTCAATAGTGGCGCTGGATACTGCTTGGCTTTGGGCCAATGACACTTACGGGCTTTGCTGTTTGCGCGCATACTTTTGTGCGCGTAAACTTATACGCGCAAAATCATACGTTGTTACTCCCCAAATAGGGATAGCTATGGGTTTCTTGCTGCAAATAAGAATGAGCTGGCTGCGCGCGCTTTCGAAAGGGTGTCGGGTGCTGGTGCTGGTGTTGTGGTCCTGGGTGCTGGTGCTGTCAACTGGCTGAGCCCGCGTTTGAGACGGGCGGCGGCGCTGGTCGGGTGCTGGTGCCGCTGCCGGTGTTGTCAGCTGGCAAAGTGCACCGGCGCTGGTGTCAGCTGATTGTGCGCGCCGTGGAGGCGCCGTAAGGTGGCTGCGCAAGCTCCGTACATTCTTGTTCCAGCCAGTCGCATGTCAACAGGTCGTGGGACTCTGCCTAGCTATCTGGGTCTATGCTGCGGTGTAATTTTCTTCACGACGCCCAAAAACTGATCGATCTTTTGGGATCTTGCCTGTTCAGATTTTCCCTAGAGCTTTGCTTGTGAGGTCTGCAGATCTCTGGCGTGGTCCTTTCAATTTCTACTTTCTTGGACAGCCTTTTCTACCAGCGCTTCACTCTAGTTCCATGGAGACTTGACTGCGTGGGATCAAAGCCGGGCTTCCAAAACAGCAAACGTGGCAACTTGTCGTAGCATTTCACGCCTGCACTTTGCCAATGCACTTAGCGCCGCACTGATAAAAGTGTTTAAGTCCCTTCGGGACAAACTGCCCGCGCTGATCAATGTGGGTAGTGGCGGCTTTGGGTTTAGGAGGAATGCGTGGCAATCTTTGGATGGTTGAGTTTAACATCCAATGGATCGTAAGTCGATATCAGGAATCAGGAAGCCGGCTGTTCTAAGATCTATATAATTGTCTATATAACTTGTCGCAACCAAGGATGGATTTTGACTCCAAAGTTCGTGCTGTTTCCGGTTTATAACAGTCTTGAACCTAATTTGATTGAGTGGATCTTCATTGTAAGACACCGCCGTTGCTGTCACGCTCAATTTTGAAGTTCTCCCCGATGGGCCTCGCCTTGCTCACCGCCATCCATCTGGCATATTTCTTGCAAGTTGGTTGCGCTTGTTCTTTGGAGCTGGCACCAATACAGTCAGTGGGGCACTCACAGAGAGTTGGCTTGCGGGCAAAACTTCAGTGTTGAGTTAGGTGCTGGGGGGAGGCGGCCCAGATCCCACTCTTTCGGTGAGCGGGCGCCCAGTCGACCGACCAGAGGGATAGGATCGGTGGCAGGTTCAACCCAAGGCTGGTGATCAGGTCTACGGCCGGTGATTTTCTCACTGGTGGCTGTACTTATTCTGGGCTGTCTTTGGAATAACCGACTGAGTGCGCAGTCTGAAGGTGGCGAAGTTGGGTGACCACTGAACCAGTGGCAAACAGCTCAACGGCAATTAGCCGAGTTGAGGTTGAGGAAGCATGGCGTTGGTTACTAGGCACATCCTGATCCAATCGGACGTTTGCGTGGACCCGGGCTTCCAACACTTGGATATGCCATTAGTAGTTCATTATATGTGGGGTTGTTTCGAGCTGGAGGGCGAAGACTTGCAGGCTATACACTTATACATCACAGTGCCGGTGATGTACAAGGTATTTGGCAGCAAAGGGATCTCGGCGCTGCCCAAGGCCCAGCAAAGCATGAAGACTTTGGACGTCGTGAGCCGGACGCCTGTACGACGCGAAGCGGATTGTCCCAGCTTGAGAAGCCAGCAGCGGAGATCGGCAATATAGATGGCAGCAATGGGATGCAAGCGCGCAAAAGTCTTACCAAAAGAATATGAATTCTACAGTAATTCAAGATGCAATGATGACAATTGTCCTCGTCCTCAGGGTTGAGCCCTTCAAACGCCGTGGTGCCACTTCGCCTGGAGGACCTCCATCCCCCTGGCGCAGTTGTGCCCGTGCAATCACTATGGATGCTGGATATGCTTGGAGGTTCTGGCTGGTTAGTAAACGCTTAGGCAACTTACTAAGTACATAGAAGACTTAGGGCGCTTATCCTTAAGTCACTTAGCCTACTTAACTTGAACCCACTTAGTGTACTGAGCTACAGGCACTTAGCGCACTTAGCTAAGTGGTTTAGTGTACTTAGTTTTTCCAAAAGGATAACAAATTTCGATATCAACGCTTGCAAAAGATCAACAACTTTCTTTTGCAATCAATAGCCAGCGCTTTGTCCATGTCAGCCAGAGAAATCAGAGCGCTCCAAAATTCTAGCATGCTTTCGCGCAATAACTTTGAAAAATTGGCAGCTCTCACATGTATTTCTTGCTATCCCATTCCCAGTCATAACTGTGGATGGAACGTGACAACCTTTGCGCGTCCATGGATGATGCGTTCAGTGCGCAGCCCCTCCCCGCTGCGCGCTGCGGCGCCCGCCAACCAAACCAACGCCGCAAGCAGCGCCTCCCCGCGTACTGTATATATATATACATACATATATAGACCTGCGTATAAACCCTGCAAGGTCTCCATGCGAGCCATGCCCGGCATGGAGTGCAACATGCAACATGGCGCGCGCGTATTTTGGCCTCATGAACTGTACGCAGCTTATAACCGAGAAACCTGCAGTCTCATGCTCGCATGAAAGCCCTGTATGCCGGGCTATGTTTCTTCACCAGCTCCGACGCACATAATTCCGCGTAGAGGAAGGCCTTGCAAGCTCAAGAGCCTGCGTGCGAGCGATGCGAGCGATCCATATAGAAGTAGACATGTCATTGACAAATGCTTGGTCCCATAGATACCGGTTAGAAGTAGACATGTCACTGACAAATACTCGCATGGTCCCACAGATACCGGCGATATCTTTGGAAGAGGAAATTGAACAAGGTTGTTTCCAAAGGCAATGAATACAGTTGTTTTTCTTTTGCGCGCATCCACAGACCATGCGCGCCACATGCTTGCAAGGTTTTCCAGCTTTGTTTCTTGTGCTACCTGCAATGTGTGAGCCCATATGCCATATGGACGGTCACGTGCCCGGAAAGGTTCATTCCCATGGCACTCGTGGCCATCAAAGAAGAAGCCAGCAAAGCTTCTAAAAGTCGATGACCTTACAGCGTCATCTTCACAACGTTGCTCCTCGAGCCACGGATCCTGAGTAGGACTTGAACATCCGTCCAAGTCTGTCAGGCAGAGTGTGCCGCGCTTGGTCGAGCTTGCGGTGCTGACGCTCAGCTTCAAGCAGCCGCTCAGGCGTACGCTCTGGCTCAACATCTACCCATTTTTTGTGGTCGTCCTCCCTTGCAAGCAGGGGCGCCTTGCGCATGACCAGAAACAGCGGCGCGCTTTCCGGCGTCGGCCATCTTGCCAGTTCCTCCACGTGTCCTCAGCCACGCGCAACGCAAAAGAGGAAGTCCAAGTCAAAGAGCGCGTGCGTTCATATGTATATTTAGCGTGACGTGTGAGAAAGTATGCGTACATAAAACATGACATGTGTCAAAACAAATGATCTACATACACACGCCAAGGTCATCCACCGGATAGAGCATGAAGTCCAAGTCTCGCTCTTTGGCGCCTGCGGTGCACGCAAAGTGGTGCAGGCGCACAACCGGCGTGCCACTCACGGGATCGCTGGCAAAAGCTTACAAAACAGGCAGCTCGCGACGAACGCAATTGATTGAGACATTCAAGTGTGAAGCCCTTATACTTGGAGTCATCTTGGTATTTTACATTTCAAGAACAACAATATAGCAGTGCAAGTTCCATTGTTGCATTGTATCCCATTGGGAATAACAGCGTGGCGTTGCTCGCTGTTAATGCACCAGACTGGGATATTCTTGCTGGTGAATGGCGTTCCCAAGTGTGTGTGTATATATGTATATATAGCGCAGACAGAGCGTGCAAATATCATCATGTTACATATAGCTTGGCCAAGACAGTGCAGTGCTGGTTGTCGTTTTGAATCTGAAAACGCGATCCCAAAACTCATCAGACTCAAGCTCCCCAAATATGCTCGCGACAATGCACCCGTTGGCGCTGTCCCCAAAAATGCCCCCGGGCTCAGGCGCCACGGGCGCAGCCTCATCATACACCAAGATCTCAGGCACCACAGGTTTAAGCTGCTGAGAAGAAGAGCCTCCAGCATCATACGCCATGGTGTCAGGCTGAGCCGCGGGAATTTCACCATGGAAGGCGTCCAAATCCCAAACCTCAGAATTCAACTCCAACGTCTTGGTCCCTTCCTTTGTTTCCTGTGTTTGATAGACAGCCTTCAAACACTTGTGTTCATTCTTCTCCTGCTCCTCTGCAGCACTTGCACGGTTTTTGTTCTCAAGGTCAAGCTTTGCCACACCAAGCTTCTCTTTCAGTGTGTGCAGAACTCTCCAGCTGGACATAAGCGCCAGTCATTTGAGCCATGGTCTCTTGGAAGCGCTTCCACCAGCAAGTCTCTGACAGAAGGGGACGTGGCCATCTCGCCAAACAAACAAAGTGACAGATCCCACACTCAGGCTACCGATATGTTGACGCCTCGAGCAAACGTTGAGATTTAAAGATTTGGCGAAGGGATACGTTTGGCAGCCGTATGCACTTCCATCACTTGTTTCATGCCCTGCGCTGCTGGCTTGAACTCGTCAGTTGATTCTTGAGCGAGGCCATGCAAATGGGCCACTTTGCGGAGAACCGACCGTTCCACCTGGAATGTTGCTGATCAACCCACCTGATTCGAATGCTCGGGACATCTCGTATGAGTGTGAGTCATGGGCTTAATCTGTTTGATCTTGCATGCAGTACAGTGACATGACCATGACACAAAAACAAATTATGTAGTTGACGTGTACGCGACACTAGCATGATGCCTCACCGTAGCGTACCTTTGTACAATAATCTATGTAGACCATGAAATATGAACTAATATACCAGCAGGCTCCGAGTCCCAAGTTACACAGGCATCGTGAGTAGGTAAGGTCGTTCGGCGCCAAAGTCATTAAAAACTCAACCCTCTAAGTTTGCTCGCATATCACATGTTGGCACAACCATGACAATGTTGGACAGGACAGTGATTGCACCTAGAGTCTCTTCAAAAGGTCCTCACAAAGTTTGTTTTGTGATGGAGCCACCACTCACAACATGCAATACGACAAACAAACACGTTAATTCACAGGCTGTGAAAGCAACATGCCCTGCTTTGAGTGAAACCACATGTGTTTCCACCGTTTATACGATTAAGAGTTTCCTTTCTGGAGAAAGGTGTCTTGTGTTTTTTTTCAAAGAGTGTGTGATTTTCCTCTTTAAGGATAGTTCCGTGCGCAGGGTTTAAAGGAAACTCTTTTGCAGAACGTGTTTGTGTGTGTGTGTGTCCGTGTTATTGTTTGCATGTCGCAGGTGCATGACGCTCGCCCGAACGCCCGACCTTCGCCGTTCATGGCTTCAACGATTGCCAGTTTATATAGTATAGTATCTACAGAACCTGTAGACCCTAGTAAAAAAGTAAAACAAACTATGGGGTTGATTCAACACGTGTATAGGGCCTGGTTACAAAGCTCCACCGCTCAAGGTCGGTTCACGAATCTCTTTTTTTTCGCGAACCTCGGGCGGGGGGGGCTTGAGAGCCCATGCGGCTTCATGTGAGCCTGG